GGGATCACGTTTACTGGTCTGATAGAGCCTGATGGAACCACTGAGACTATGACCTCTAGCTGCCCTTCAGGTCTGAAATTGAACCCATTCCTATGGCTTCCAGCTAGACAAAAGAAAGACATATGAGCTGAACATTTATGTTAGGTAGATACACTCCTTAGAGAGATCAGTCATGGGAGAATAAAAGGGCTGTGTATACACAGGGAGACAACTTGGGGGACAGGAGTGTATGGAAGGGAAGGACACAGGAAAGAGGTAACTATGGAGAGGAAGTGGGAGGGGAGCTTTTGCATTGTGAGAAGTTGCGGTCAATGTCATGAGACAAAGTGTATGTGAGCTGCAGTGTGAAAAGTGAATTTGCTCTGTAAATTTTCACCCAAATCACAATAAAAATTAAAAGAAAGAAAAAAAAAGACTCTGTTCAAGGACAACTCTTTTGTCAAGTCTGTCTTGCTATCCGTCCCCCATTCCTGCTTTAAGTTAATATAGCAGCCTGTGCACCTCTTTAATATAAAGCTTGCTATATTATATTGTGATCATTAGTTTTTTTTACCTGCCTGTTTTATGAGATTGCATGCTCTTTGACGACAGGACTACCCCAAAAACCCCGCTGCCATGGAGTCGGATCCAACTCATAGCGACTCCTCCTTGGGTTTCCAAGGCAGTATCACTATGGAAGTAGATTGCCCAACCTTCATTCTGAGGAGTGGCTGGTGGGTTTGAATCACCAGCCTTCTGGTTAGCAGTCAAATGCCTTAGGCACTATGCCACCAGAGCTCCTGAGGACAGGACTGTGTTTTAATTATGTGGGCAGATTGGCCTTGTATTCTCTGGTTGTTCCCTGCTTCTCTGCTTCCCTCCGAACAACCCAAAATGAAACAGGAGCTCCCCACAGAAACACTCCTGGTGTGAACCAGTCCTAATCTCCTGTGGCCAGAGTGTGCCCCTGGACCTCACATCTCTTTTCTTACATTTGGCCATTTCCAAAAATACCACAGATGGCCTAGATCCTGAGAATAAAATTCCAGGTCCTGTGGTCTTGATCTTTTTCTTTGGGATTCCGTGTTTGACTTATGCCCCAGTGTCTCTGAGTTAGGGCTCTCTTTGACCTGCCGAAATCGAGGACATCCTCAGTCCTACCTCCTTACCTGGGTTTCCCCTTCTCTTGCTTTCCTCATCTTACCTTGTAGGGGATAATGACTGTGTTGTTGGAATATGGAGCCAAGAGTCTAAAGCAAGGAGACCTAGAGTCTATGTAATCATCTTTACATTTTTCAATGTTTTGTCATTCAAAATAGGACTGAAAATGCTTGAGTTTAGTACTGGTTCTGCCAGTACTCTTGTTCTCAGTGTCTTCATCAATAAACACAAAGTATCGAACCATCTGATGTTAAAGATTTCTTCTGGCTCCAGCTGTCTTTGATTCTGCTGATAAAATGTACTTGAAGACATAGAGCAATTTTGAGGTTCAGTGAACAAGTATTTTCAAGATGTTCTAAGTTGCAAAGATGAATATGATAATAGAACTGTGAGATTAGCAGGATTATCATGGATTTGTATTTCCAAGGCTCTGTATTTTGTCTACATGGTTAAAATTAGAGGAGTTGGAGACACATACACTCCCTGACTCCAAGATTCCAAATGAATGAGGTACTTTAAGAGCAGTTTTTTTTTATTTTTAAACATGTCATAAAATCAACTATGAGAAAAGATAATATTACAACTATCTTTAAGCATTTCACGCACACACAGCTACACTTTGGGAGGCAATATTAGGTCTCATCCAGCGTTAAAAATGTTTTGATTTTAACACACTTAATGAGAATTTGCAGATAAATTAAAATATCTCCATCTGCTGTCTTGCATGGTAGGTGATATTTTACCATTGCACAATCATCTCCAAATCTAATTCCACCAGGAAGACTTCTAATCGCACTTTAATTTTAGAGCAATATTCCACTTGGCAATCAATAAAGCACTGTCGTCAAACTTTGATTTAATAGGAGACGTGGATAACATTCTTCACATTATGCAGAGTGAGAAATACTTTCAGGAAAGCAAGAGAAGAACATCTTTGTCTCTCACTTTCCCCTGCTGCATACCATTCAAGCACACAAAAGCCTATAAATCAATACCCCCATGTTGTGTGAATATAAATCTCATCAATTTTGCATCATTAGCACCATGAAAAAGCTACTGCTCTTTGAGCAATTTTCCTCTGCTACCTAAATATGTCTTCTTAATAAAACAAGAGTAAGTGGATCCTGATTATTTTACTAACGAATGCATCCTTCTTCCACTTTATTTGAGTCAAGATGCATTAGAATTCTACAGTCCTTTTGCTATTTGGGGGGCTAGGGTGACTGGGCAGTGATACCACTCTCCAGGCTTAATGTCCAGTGGTCAGTGGGTAACCTAGACAGTCCAGGAAGCCAAAAGGATTAACTCAAGAGTAGTCAAAGAGGTTAGTAAATGGTCAGTCTCTGGAAGGTTAAGATGAGTGGGAAAATAGAAGTGATTCATAATGTCAGAAGCCTGGAAACATGGCAGCAGTCTGAGAAATGGATGTTTCAGAAGGTGATGGCAAGGGATCCAGAACTAAGTCAGTGAACGTCATGAGAGCCTAAGGTTCACTGTCCCAGGAGCCTGGCTTTGTGGTGTAAGGTACTTAAAGGATATGGGAACCTAGAACAAGACCTTAGAGAATATCTGGTCCCTGGTGCTGCAGTGGTTAAGCACTCGGCTGCTAACTAGAAGATCAGCAGTTTGAACCCACCAGCGGCTCCACAAGTAAAAGATATGTGGCAGTCTGCTTCTGTAAAGATTTCTCACAGCCATCTAGTCGATTCCAATTCATAGCTTTACGGAAGTAGATTGCCCCATCTTCCTTCCATGGAGTGGCTATTGGGTTTAAACTGCCACCCTTCTGGTTAAGAGTCAAATGACTTATCCAGAGCTCTACAGCATTGGAAACTCTGTGGGGCACTAAGTTTTTCAGTTAAGGGATTTCAGACATTGTTATGACTGAGTTCCCCTTGTGTTATAGTTCTTCTCCCTCCATGGACTAAGTTATAGGGAGTCCACCAAAATTTGCATTTATAAAGTAATCATTAACTTTCTTACTTGGGTTTTTTGAATTCATAACTAATTGCCAGTGAGAGAGTATGCTCAAACATGGGCTAAGGAGTATAATGATAATAACTTGATATAGTTTCAGATAAACTTGGTGTTTTCATTTGCATGCACAATGAAATATCCAGCCTTATTAGGAATAACTATACAATTTCTGTTTAGTTTCTTCAAATGTCAGCATTTGTTGCTGGCCTTTTTCAATTATTATTAATTACTCCCTATAATCCAGGGCTTTGGATCTGGTCTAAACCCCTCATTTGATACATGAGAAACTGAGGTCCAGAAAAGTATGGTGATTGCCTTGTGTTCATGCAGCAGGTAGAATCCAAGCTTTCTGATACCCAGTATAAAGAAAAGACCTTTAAAATGACTTTAAACACTTCATATAGAACCCAGAGGCACACAGACCTTTCCAGAGGGCTGTACTGTTTAATGAGGATTGCTTTATGTCATGTCTAATACAGAGAATAACCAGAAATTCACCATCACCTAACAGGTGGTGAACCTTATTTGTTGAAGCTCAGATTATAAGAACAGGAAGGTGAATTTCAAAATATATTCTAATTACTAATAATCAATTCCAATTTATTTTATTTCAACCACTATGAGTCAGGTACAGGGTAAGGTACTAGGATGACGGAGGGGAGGAAGACAGAACCTGGTGGAGGATGCATAAAGGAATCAGGCAAATCTACAGGGAAAAGCCAAGAAAGCAAGAGGCCAGGGAGCTATGTGTGATGGATCCATCAGGGATTTCAGCATCAGTAGAGCATAAAGTTCTATGACTACAGAAAAGAGGAAGGAATTATTTCTGCAGGAAGAGGAAAGGCAAACCTTGTTCAGGGAAGGTTCCCCAGACGTGGTGCTACTTCCCATGGCTTTTGAAAGAACAATAGAATTTGGGCAAATGGATTAAAGAAGAATGAGCATTGCCAAAGGTACAAACCCATTCAAAGGATTAAAGATACGTTGACTCCACCTGTAGCCCAAATGGTGACTTTGGATGAAATAGAGAAAGCGCTTCTTCCTCAAGACACTCTATCACCATTTGCCAGAAAAGTTTTATAATAACCATACAAATTTATGAAACCATGAATATAAGTGATACTACCTGGGGGAGTTGTGCAGTGTACATCCTGCACCTGAATATGTAAAGTGTGGAAAGTCAAGCCAGGAGTTAGCCTTGGATGTGCTAGCAAGGCTGGTGCTACTGAATTTGACTGGTTCTGGCAAAGCTGAGTGAAGCGCTTGCTGCAGACGCTCAGGCAGCATATGAACAGTCCTGTTTATCTCTCTGGTCAGACCGTTAAGACCATGGAGGGAAGACTCTGTTTCTCAAGGGCAGGCACAGCTCTTTTTCGTTCCATCTGGACCCAGCAACTTTTCCAAAACCCTTCAGGCCTGTTCACACATAGCAGAAACACCTCTCTTATTGATCAACAGCTTGAAGGGAGAGTCCCATAAAATTTGTTTTTCCTTTTGTTTCTAATAGGCCCTTCAGCATCATCATGCTGTTCATGAAATTTCCTACATTGCAAAGGACATAACAGACCACCGGGCCTTTGGATATGTTTGTGGGAAGGAAGGGAATCACAGATTTGTGGCTATAAAAACGGCCCAGGCGGTAAGTATTTCTACCCAAGGAGGGTGTCTTTTCTTTTCGCTTTAGGAGACAGTACAGTGACTGTTGGTCTTTGGGCCCACTCTGATGGTATGAGCAAGAGATGCATCACCACTAGAAATGGATGTTCAGGTTCGCTTCTAGAAAAGATTAACAGCCTTGGGGGAAGGAAACATGCTCATACCCACTCAGTTGGTTTTCTGTTTTTTTATTTTTTTCCATCCTAATGGTTATTTCCTAATGACTAATTATTTTCCTTTCTGATTAAGCTGCATGGAGGCACAGTACACAAATAAGTTTCCTTATTTCATAGCCTCATTTAAAAAGAAAATAAGAGAAAACAAATAGCTGTTTTGCATAAGGACTACCCTAATTTTATTGTATTTGAAATTACTAATAAATAAAAGCAATGCCTTTTATGCTTATGATTATTATGAATTTGCAAATATAATTAGTTGAAGAAATGAACTTTAGCCTAGATAAAATTTGCTAAACCAACATAAACAAGGTAGAATTAATTAAGGATGGAATGTGTTCAGTTTAATAGAATAATGAAGGGCCATGAGTTGCACCTGGCAAAAACAAAAACTGGTCACTGCAGCTCACTACCGTTCCCTTATTAATGTGCTGACCACCTTTTACTCCAGGCTGAACCTGTTATTCTGGACTTGAGAGATCTCTTTCAACTCATTTATGAATTGAAGCAAAGAGAAGAATTGGAAAAAAAGGCACAAAAGGATAAGCAGTGTGAACAAGCTGTGTACCAGGTATACCTATGAATTTATCCTAGTGCCAGAGAAAATTGGGGCTTAAAATAAACAGATGTGAAAACTGCCAGTCAGGGCTTCTGCTGCTGCTGCCAAGAAGAAATAAACAAAGATGAAAGGTTCCCGTGTAAATTACAGGCACCTGAAGCAAGCCATTAGAGATGATCCCTTATTCTTTGAGATTCTAGACATTTTAGAGAAAGCAAAGTCTTTAATCCAGAGGAAGATCTCAGGGGAGGAGGGCTTGAGAAACACGATTGCTTTTGCTGTTGTTAGCAATGGGTATGGGGATGTTATGGGGAGCAGGCTACAAGGATTTTGCCTTTTTCTTTGTTTTCTCCCTTAATGACCCACCAGCCTATCCTACCCAGAGCTGGTTTCTATGCTGTCCTGTAATTTCTGAACACAATCTCACATCTCTTCCTTTATATCCTTTGCCCTCCAACCTCCCGTCTCTCACTCTGTCGTAGACAATTTTGGAAGAGGATGTTGAAGACCCTGTATACCAGGTAATTTCTGAAACAAGTTGGGCTTTAAGTTCAGGGTAGTTAGGCTGAAGCACAACCACTTTGTCAGAGGCCTGAAGAATCCACAGGTCGTGGAGCCTGGAGAGAGAGCAAGATCTGTTCTGAGGGTAAAATCTGACAGCCCCTCCAGAACCAAATTTCCGTAAAAAACGAACAGAAGTTTGGCCAGCACCAGTAACATGGGGTTTGGAGATGCACCTGTCCATTCTTGCCCCTGCCTCAGCCCTTCCACAATCTGTGAAAATTTGATCCCAGAGCCTAATGTTTTTAAGAGCCTCTTGAATAATCTGTGTTCATTAGCGAGAGAGAATGAATAATGAGGAAGCTTCTCTGAGTTAAGAAATGGAGACAAGGACTAACATTTTGGTGGCATTTAAATGCAGATCCAAAGGATGGTTTGTAAGCTTTAGGAAAGCTGTAAGGGAAGTCTCTGGACCCTATTGGCCAGGCTGACCTTCTGATGAGCTAGCTCATGGCACAGAGGTTTTCTGAGGCAGGAAAGGGTGAACTCAGAGACCTCTCTGCCTGCCTAGAGCTTTCTCTGGACTCTCCTTTAGGACTGTAGCCTCTCTCAGGTTCAGATCTGTGTTCTGTTCAAGCAGAATTGCAGAAAGAAGGAAAGAGGAGGGCTTTTCTTCTCTTGTGGTTATTCCCAAGGAGAAAAGAAAGCCAAAAAAAGGACTGATTAGACATAAAAGAAATTCTGGAACTTGCGGTTCTGAGATACACATGTGTTATATATATGTGTGTCGTGTGCATGATATATACATGAAGTAAATGCATATTTTCCAAACAGAAAGCTGGGACTGTTACAGTGAGAATAAAATTATACAGATAACTTGAAGAAGTTTCTAGTGGATATGACATGGAAAAGTCAAAGGTGCAATTAATGAAGCTCCATTAGTTTAGGATACTGAGTAGTGAGGATCCATTTATAATATGAGCCTAGCGCCTCAAGAACTGACTCAAAGGGAATAAAGACTATTGTCCTTTTTGAAATGTTCCAGTTCTTTAATATGTGAAACACGCACATAGAAAATGTGATTTTCAGTGTTTAAAACTGAGAACACAAAATAAGGTGGTATTTTTGGCCTGTAGGAGCTAGGGCTTCTGAGCACTTCAAGGTTGGCTCAGTACCTTGAGCCTTCGAGTGCAAAAGGAGCCCAGAGCTATAACCTAAGGTTTGCTAGGGATCCCAAGCCTTCCCAACAGATAGTCTGACAGCGAAACCAGCACATTCAAATCTTGCTAAAATCAAGTGCTATTGAATGAAGACATTCTGTCTCCAAAGAGACCTACAGGGGCACATTGCTACAGGGCTGACTGCCAGACCTTTGGGATTTTCTTTAAAAAAAAAACACAAATGGGCAAGCCACATTTTGTTATTTCAGCAATCCAGTGGTCTCAAGACGTTTTCTCTTGTGCCTGTTTCTTTGATGCTCACTGTGATTTGTATCCTGAATTCCAAATGCTTGTTTTCCTCTTTCTTTTTCACCTCTGACCTGTCCTCTCGGGGCTGCTCCTGTAATAGTACATTGTGTTTGAGGCTGGACATGAGCCAATCCGTGATCCTGAAACAGAAGAAAACATTTATCAGGTATAAAATTGCTTGCCTCTCTTACAACTGCACCACTACCAGCAAACACACTGAAGGTCTTAAAAAAATAAGAAGTCTGTCTTTAGATGGTCCACATAGCTTTTTAGTCATTTCAGGGTAAAATGCCTTTGCATGAGTTGGCTTCTAGTAGCCTTACAATTTACCAGGTTTTGTTGTTATTGCTGTTTTATATTTTAATTTACTATGATTTGTCATGCCTTCTTGTTGAAATGTTTAGTAGCCAGTTGGCTACAGTGTTTTGATTTTTGATTAATCTTTACTGTTTTAAGTAGACAGAAAAATCAAACATTCTGTTTTATTAAGTTGTACCTTGGAAGGTCATTGTCCATATACAGCTGGGTTTCTTATTTATCAAAATAATTTATCATATTTCTTTAAAAGAAGTCAGCTCCACCACTGAGAAATAAAGTGCAAATTCAAAAATGCTTTTTGAAAACAACTTTGAGAATATTAACTGAATAAAAGAAACCAAAAAAGAGAAGGTAAATTAGATTCACAATTGTCTACTATGTGTAGAACACTGAACACATTATTAAACTCATTTAATTCTCACAAACACACTGTGCAGTAGGTATTTTGATCCTATTTTTATATGGAAACTGAGGCTCAGAGAAGTTGAATAGCTTCCTCAAGGTTGTAGAACAAGTTACAGCCAGGATGCAAACCAAGAGTGCATCTGACAGCAGAGCCCACGCTCTCCCCATGCTGCCTTACCATGCAGCCTTTGAGTAGCGGCAGCACAGCAGCACAACAGACAAATAGGATAGCTCCTAATTTTTCACTAATTGGAATTTTAGTCCTAGCTTGTAATATAAACACTGCTGGCAGAAGGAAAAAATTTAATATGTGATTTTAATTTTCTTAATTTACTTTGTTGTGGGTACTACCGCTATTCGTGGTGCTCGTAGCATAAACCATCAGTTGTCGTTGAATTGATGCTGACTCATAGTGACCTCATGTGTGTCTGAGTAGGACTATGCTCCATAGGGTTTTCAATGGCCAATATGTCAGAAGTAGAGTGTCCCTTTCTTCCAAGGCATCTCTGGATGGACTTAATCCTCTAACCTTTTGATTAACAGCCAAGCACACTAACAGTTTGCACTACCCAAACACTCCACTTGTAGTCTAGTATTGTTTAATTAAAGTACAATATATTTTCAATTTCTGTCAAATACATAGAATTTCAGATGACCAAAACATAATTTTAATTATGCCAGCAACTCAATGAAAACCACCCTTGTAGAATAATCATCTAAGTGTTTCTATCCATTGGGTCCATCTAGATTCTAAGCAAGTTTAAAGTTATGCTTTGAGATTTTGTTTAAAATCATCATTTACAAAGATTATAAAAATCCATTTTATATTCACTATAAAAATTTGTATTTGTCTTCAGTGTCAGATTTTTAAAGTACAACCTTGCAATGTCTAAATATAAGGCCAAAGGAACCATTAAGCAGTCATCTTATGATGAGAGATAGCCTTTTAAAATAAAGATAGGCTTTTCAATATGAGGCATCTAACAAAACTGAAAATCATAGAAAGACCAGGCTTGCTGGTCTGTAGATACTGGTCAAGCCCCAGAGACTATGGCCTTTAGTCACCTTTAGGCCTAGCACTGAACTCACTTTTGTGGCTCACTTTTCAGGTGTTCTGGTTACCTAGTGCCGCTCTGACAAGAATATACCACAAATGGGATGGATGGCCTTAACAAGCAGGAGTTTATTCTCTTACAGTTTGGAGGCTTTAAGTCCAAGTTTAAAGTGCTAGGCTCTAGGGGCTGGGTGAAAGCCCATCAACCTTGGGGTACAGCTCTGGCTGCTGAGACTGACAGACCCAAGGTTGATAAGGGAAAAGACACAGTCTCGTTACCAAACCACACAGCAGGCCATTAATTCAAGTCCGTTGTAAGTCCCAAGGTCAGCAGAGCAGGCAGGTTGCTGAACAATGACACTGCTACATGCAGGGTTCAAGCGTGCCATAAGCTAGACACTATCCCCAAGGCTTCTCTGTATATACAGGAAGCAGACTGCATCCCAAAGGCAGCTACTCAGCTGCTTGTGGTAGATCCCACCATGGAGTTGATTGCCAGTCTCATTATGAGGCGTAACTACCACCAGCTGCCCAGCCAAGTTGACAAACAAATTTAACTACCACGTCAGGCAAGCAGTAGACAGGCTTATAAGATGAACAGTAACACTAGGGAGGTATGCACTTTTTAGAAAAATCAACCATTCAAGATCAAAAGGGCAGCATTTGCCTGAGGAAAGAGTTCAAAAGGCAGGGAGAGTTCGGAGAGAAGGAAGAATGGAAATGGGAAGCGTAGGGAAGAAGTGGGATGAGACTATGTATTGTGGGGGTTGTAATCAGTAACATGAAACAAACTATGTATGAATTATTGAATGGAAAACTGATTTACTCTATAAAACTTCACCCAAATCACAATAAAAAGTTAAAAATATAAATAAATAAATAGGTTTCTGAATCCAGACTTAAGCTGTAGTTGGCAGGGTTCCCTTCATGGCCCCTGGGGGTCTGGTGTAGCAGGGACAGCCTAGTGTGCTGGGAAGAGCTGCTTTAGGAGGGGGGAAGCTGAGTCCCATTCTGGCTCTGTCACCGGTTACTTGTGGCTGTGTGATAGTGGCAAGGCATTTGCCTTTTCTGAGACTCAGTTTCTCCAGTTATAAAATATGGCAACCATTTCTCTCTAATTTACATGTCATTGTGAGAATGAAACAAAGTCAACTGTAGGTACGTCTTCTAACTGAGTCTAATGTACAAATAAAATGCCAAGAAAAGGCATCATCTTGGATCACAATATAGTGTCTGGTGTGTGGATTTGAGATCTTAGGTCAAGCTCAACCATTCCTTCAATTTGTGAACTGCCTTTCCCTCTTTAAAGAGCTCTGGTGGCTCAGTGCCTAAGGGGTTTGACTGCTAACCAGAAGGTTGCTTGTTCAAACTCATTTCATGCTCCGTGGAAGGAAGATGGGCAATCTACTTCTATAAAGATTTACCACCTCGGAAAACCAATGGGGGTCACTGTGAATTGGGATCAACTCGATGGTAGTGGGTTTGTTTTTTTTGTTTTTTTTTTGCTTTTTGCTCTCTTTGGCCCTCAGTTTATTCAACTATAAAATGAGTGAATAAGGCTAAAGTATCTCTCAAGCAAGGCTATTTCCTGCTCTTGGCAACTAGTATCTCACCGTAAGACTGATTATTCAGAAAAGAATGTTGGCTTGTTTTACATGGCACCAAGACTCTTAGAAACTTGTGTGCGCCTGTGTGTGTGTGTTGCTAACACTTACTGAGTGCCGATTGCAGGGCTGCTCTGTGAGTAGGGGAGTTACATGCATTGTCTTATCTCTCACAACCACCCCAGGTGATTAGAATCATTTACTCCCACCTTACAGACAAAGAAAGTGAGGCTCACAGAGACACGGCTTCTGCCCAGGGCTTTAGAGCCAGCCAGAGGCAGAACTGTCCTTCAGACCCAGGTCTCTCTGACTCTGAAACCTGCACACCTAACTTTCATAAAGAAATAAGTCTATTAAGCTAAATAAATAACTAACTCAGATTATTATCCGAGGATGTTTTCAGCTCAGGATTCTCAGGTTTTGAACTTCACAATTAGATTTCGTGCCAGCCATCAAGTCACTGTCTAAAAATCACATTCATCTTAACAGCTCTGGCCCCCCATCTTCCTGTCTATCCATCTATCATTAACAGGAAAATGCCATTTAAGGGAATGAATATTTTATCACCTATTGGAAAAGCCTCTGGTCATTCTCCTCTCCTCTTTAGCCAATCCACTGGGGCACAATTTGCTTAACAAGAGATAAGCTCTTGGGCCTAAAGATAAGGCTGGGCTTTTAAGGAGCTGCTATCAGGAGCCTCATTATTCTTTTTTTCAAAAGGCATTGTATCCAATATATATTCCTTCTGGGTGAATTGCAGTGCCCAGGATGGTCTCAGACTTTATTCCTGTCTGATTTGTAGAATCAGGTAAACATCTCTGAGACCTAATCCTCTAACTGTGCCTGTGACCTTGGGTGAAGCATTTAACCTCAGTATCTCAATGCCTGGGGCTCAAAAATGAAGAGAGTATCTGCACCTAGAAAAGATGTGCAGATAAGAGGTGACAAAAACAACACTTGGTACATAGTAGGTACTCAGTAAATGTTAATTCCCTTTCCTTCCTAACAAAATCAAACACTGCTTAAGACATCTTACGATCATATCTTAAGTGAAGTAAAACAACTTGCTCACCTCATCTTGTCAGAGTCCAGAAAGAGGCAGCAATCTCATTTGACTTTACTGTTTATAATCCCAGCAGAACGGAAGGAGAGCCCGTTGAATAAATGTAAGGTCTCTTTGAGGTCAGTGTCTCCCTTTCCAAACTATTTTAATAATAATAATACTTACGCATTGAGTGCTCAGAAAAAGTTATCCATGGTCATACAGAGCTTCACAGTACAAAGCATTTTACAAATCACTTAATGTTAACCCTTCCAGTACCAAAGTGAAATAGGAAGAACAGCGATGATAACTACCACTTTAAACATGAGAAAACCAACTTCCCTTAATTTGTATGCTGGAGCTCTGGCGCTGCTGTGGTTAAAGCACTGGGCTGCTAACCAAGAGTCAGTGGTTCCAGCCCACCAGCTGCTCTGTGGGAAGCAGGCTGCTTCTGTAAAGATTTACAGCCTTGGAAGCCATATGGGGCAGTTCTGCTACATCCTAATGGGATCACTGTGAGTCTGGTAGCATAGTGCCTAAGGCATTTGACTGCTAACCAGAAGGCTGGTGGTTCAAACCCACCAGCCACTCCTCAGAAGAAAGGTTGGGCAATCTACTTCCATAGTGATGTCGTGATACTGCCTCGGCAATCCAAGGAGGGGTCTCTAGGAGTCGAATCTGACTCCACCGCACATAACAACAACAACATGAGTCAAAAGGGACTCAATGATAGTGGGTGGGTGAATGTGCCCAAGGTCAGGGCTTTTGATTCTAAATCTAGTGTTCTTTAATACCTTATCAAGCTTCTTATGTTAGTGAGATCTGAGTTTTCCAAGTGGGCACTATCCAAGTTCAGTCATCCAAAAATCATCTTTAATCACTCAAGATGTCTCAAGTACTGTTATTTTAAAATTGTAAGTCTCTATCCCCATGTCAGACTCCCTGGATGGCACAAACAGTTGAGTGCCCAACTACTAATTGATAGGCTGGCAGTTTGAACCCACCCAGAAGTCCCTCAGAAGTCAGGTCTGGCCATCTGCTTCCAAAAGGTCAAGCCTTGAGAGCTCTAAGGAGCAGTTCTACTCTCCACACATGGGGTCTCCATGATGTGGAACCAACTCAACAGCAAGTAACAACAAAAACCCCATGCCACCCAACACACCCTTCAACTGCTGTGCCACGTTATTAATTATTATGTTGATGAGCTATCTTTTGTATGTACAGTGTATAATGTATAATTGCAGAGCATTTTTACAAATATTAAGCTGTTCGTTCAAAAAGTATTTGTGGAGCACTGGCAGCATTTGACTGCCAACCAGAAGGCTGAGGGTTCAAACCCACAAGCCACTCCTCAGAAGGAAGGTTGGGCAATTTATTTGCATCATGATACTGCCTCGGAAACCCAAGGTGGGGTCACTGTGAGTTGGATCTGACTCGACAGCAGTGGGTTATGATAGCCATATGTGGATATGGTAGTAATCATGGCATGGTCCCCAACTTCAAGGAATTTATAGACAGTGCCTTAGATACTCACATAACTAGGTATAGAAACAGAGGTGAACTCTTGAGGTCACACAACCTGTGCCAGAGCCAAGATTAGGAATCAGCTCTCCATGTTGCTTCCATTCTAGAACTTAATCACTCTACAACATTGTGTTAGTGAAATGGCCTTTGTAGATGGATGGATTAACTCAGTCAGAGGTGAGTGCAGAACCATGCCTCTTTTTTATCTTCATCCCTTCAGCATTTCTGCCAGTATTTTGCCCTCAGCACACATGTGGTAAATGATTGGTGATTAGCCATTTCTTTGATTAACCAATATTTACAGAGCAAGTCCATTCAGTTTGTCATACTGTGATGGTTGCCATGTTACTGTGATGCTGGAAGCTATGCCACCATTAGTTCAAGTACCAGCAAGGTCACTTATAGTGAGCAGGTTTTAGTGGAGCTTCCTGACTTAGACAGGCTCAGAAGCAAGGCCTGGTGATCTACTTTTGAAAATTACCCATGAAAACTCATGGATTACAACAGAACATTGTCTAATACATGCTGGAGGATGAGCCTCTTAGGTTGGAAGACATTCAGAATACACAGTGGCCACAGAAATGGACTCGAGTATACAGTAATCCGGAAGATGGTGCAGGCTTGGGGAACGTTTTGTTCTGTTGTACATGGGGTTGCCATGAGTAAAGCCAACTCATCAGCAACTAACAATAACAACACAATACAGCAAGTATGACACACTGGGGATAGAGGGATAAAATATCCTCCCTGTCTTCCACAAGCTTCTAGTACAGTGGGGCTACAGGCTAACAGACAGACAGTTACAATGTGGTGTGATAACATCAAAGATCAGATAAAGCACATTTTACACTCAACTTCAGTAGCCTGATTACTTGTCCATCTCCCTCAGCAAGACATGGAGCTCTGTTAAATCAGGGACCATATCTGTCTTGGACATCACCGCCATCCCAGGCAAAACATAGTACGTGACACATAACAGGTACTCAGCAACTTTTATTTTTTAATGGAAGAATGCATCAGAGTTTACAAAACAGTACAGGAAAGGCTCCAGACTGGGGCAAGAGATCAAGCAAGGCTTCAGGAAGATGTGCTGGCCGAGATAAATCTTAAAGGACAAACAGGCAGATTGATATCTCACCCATGAGATAGCCAAGTGTAAAGCTTTTTCAATTATGCACAGTTTGGGTTTATCCATCCCACTGCTTCTCCATTTGCAGGGATAATTGAGAGTCAGCCGCGGTTCAACTGTGCTAAGTGCCCGTAGTGAGCAGTGAATTACCGGGAACGGGATGCTGTTCATTTTGCTCAGGAAAGGGTGAGCTAGTAAAAACAAAAGTGAGAGCTGGTAATTTATTGGCCCTCGTTAACAAGGATTCTATAGGCATTCTTATAGGACTTCTTTTAGATGGAGCCCAGTTATCAAGAGCAAAGAAATTACATTCTTCATTGGCTACCTGCAAAGTGGGGCTTAAAAGAGCAATTTGGAGAATGCATCTTCAAAACACAGCCAAGCTCACTCATAGTTCTCTTTTCTGCAAGGATATGCAAGAGCTTTTGGGAATACAGTGTGTGACGGCAAAAGAAAAAGAAGCACCCGGAACAAGAGTGGTACCGGTGGGAAGGGTAGTAAGAAGTGGCTGCCTGTATAGTTTAGCAATTAAAAGGCAAACTGTCTGGGTTCAGATTCCTAACTTCTCTGCTCACTGACCCTCTCCAGGCCTCAGTGTCTTTGTCTACAACATGGGGACAGTTGTAAATAACCAGTTGCTGTTGAGTCAGTTCCAATGCATGGCAACTCCATGTATGACAGAGTAGGACTGTGCTCCACTGGGTTTTCAAAGGCAGTAGATTACTAGGCCTTTCTTTTGAGGTGCCTCTGGGTGGACTCGAGCCTCCAACCTTCTGCTTAGTATCAGAGCATATGCACTGTAACACCAAGGGACTCCAGGACAGTTGTAGTCTCTACCTTAGAGATTTGTCCTGAGGGTTACATGAGAATATTTGTAAACTATAAATGTTTACAAAAGTGCATGACACACAAGAAGTGTCCAGTCAATGTAGGCTCATACTGTTTATAATAAATGTCATGTCTGATAGTTCAAACGAGCTTGGTTTGATCCTATCACTTAATAATTTTGAAGCCTTGAGCAAATTTTCATAACATCTCTGAGCCTCACTTTCTACCATTTAAAATGGAGAATATAATTCCAACTTCTTAGGGTTATTGTAAACATGTTAAATTAAATGATAGTGAAAAGAATAAAGGGACTCCAGGAATAAGTTCCAATTCTTAATTATTTTAGAAGAATAATACTGTTAGCTGGTCCAAACCTAACAAATACATTTTTTTTTCTGCCTTTTCTTCACTTCTTCTTATATTCCTCTTGGGCATATTTACTCAACAGACATTTATTGAGTGCCTGTTGGGTACTAGGCACTGATCAAGGCATCAGAATACAGTGATGAATGAGTAATGCTGCCTGCTCTTAAGGAACTCCATTCTGATGGAAAGAAAGATACATTATCAGACAGTTATACAGCCACCTCTGGCTGATCCCTATAATGGAGATGGGAACTCAGGTGTGGCGGTTGCTGGGGAAGGACCAACTACTAATGATTGCTTCTAGTCTAGAATGTTTTGGTGCAAAGCCCTGGATTGGCACATTAAAAATAAACAGTGTGTTGTTGTTATCGTAAAATATGCTAATGTATGTATTCATATAATGTATCAATCACAAAAGTAATTACCATTCTGCCCTTTATAGTATTTTGATGCCTAATAGTTTTTTATCCTTTTAATATCCACTTTCTCATTTGATCCTCTTAATAACCTGAGAGAGAAGTAGAGCCGACAGTGCCCATTTTAGAATAGTGAAGCTCAGAGGAGATAAGTGACCTGCTCAGGGTAGCACAGTCAGCAGGTGGTTTAGCAAGACCAGCAGATGAGGAAGGAAGAGAAAGGACAGAAGGAATGAGGAAGGTACAGATAAATGTTAGAAAAAAGTCAAGATCTTTTTGATTCTAGCCCCATGTTTTCATGCCATTCATGCCCTTTCCCTGGGTTTTATTTTTATCTTTGATGAAAATTAGGATTTTTCCCCCTCATGTTCCCTGCAGTCTCTGCAGCTTCCTACTCTGTGATTCTGGGAGGATCCCAGTGGCAGGGAAGCCCTGTACATGATCATTAAATGATGTACACACTGTCTCTTCATCCACTTTACCTGAAAGCATGACTTGCAAAGTTAGAACAGCCCCTTAGCAATGGGCCTGCCTCAGGACCATTCACACACACACCTCAGCTAGCGTGGAGTTGAAGGCTGATTGCTCTGTTGTTTAAAAGTGGAGTTTTGACTGTGTTGTGCTTGCTTTTTCCATAGGTTCCCACCAGCCAAAAGAAAGAAGGTGTTTATGATGTGCCAAAAAGTCAACCTGTAAGTGTAAGTACATCTTCTCTCCTCTGCCAGGTTCCTGGGATGTGGCATGCATGCTGAGACTGCATGTACAACTCAAGGAAGAGAAATCCTCTTCTAGAATGAGTATCACAACCCATATGGCTTTGACATGTAGGCTAGGAGCTCTTCAGTGAACCTGAAGGAAGGAAGTACAAGGCAGAAATTAGGGGCTAAGGAAGGCTACCAAGTGGAATGAAGTTCTTACCCATAGTATGTGTTAGTTGTATGATGTAAATGGCTGGGTCTAAGGGATTCAAGGTCTCAGGTGTCCCAGTTATAGCTTGTTATAGTCCCAGTTATAGCCAACTTCAGTATAAGTTTGTTCAGTGAATGTATGGCCTTGTGCAATAAACACACTCCAGCCCCTCGGCCTCATTCAGTTCTTCCTTTGCCCCAACTCTTTTCCCTTAGAACAGACTCAGAGTATTGGGTTCTCTCCACAAGCCTGGGAATTCCAGTGCAAAACATGGGCTGAGAGAGCAACAGCCTGTTTTTTTTTTTTTTTTTTTTTTTAATGAATAAATGAATGAGGGAGACCTTCCATCCATGTGTCTCTTCTTTTTCTTCCTGAGTCTCCTGATTTAATATAGATAAAGATGTTGACAGTGAAGACCCAGGGGATAGGAACTTAACATACGTGGACAAGTAGGAGACAGTGTCTCTGGTTCTAGGAAGAGAGCTGCCCATCTAATGTGAAGGTGATTGAGAAGCTTCAGAAAGACAAAGGACAAAGACTAGTAGGGGCTTTGGGTGTGTATAATGGCCCAGCCAATGGAAAAGAACATTGTAGAAAGACCATATTTAGTCAGCTTTCAGAGAACTCCAGAGGCTCACTGCAATAAGAATCATTTTTAATGCCACTGCTGGTGGGACTCAGGGAATTAAGACAAAAGGGAAAGTCACCACCTCTGTGATACCCCAAGTCAGTGCTAGACTAGAACCTATACGTAGGCTCTCCAGCTGGCACTGTGAAGGCACCTTCAATGCATAATTCAGCCAGTACTGGGAAACCACTAAAGGCCCTTGAGCAGGGACACATGTGACTCTGCCTTAGCATATGCAATAAGAATTAGGGCTTCTAGTTACTGTTGATCTCATTTAGCTCAACAATGTGTAGAAAGAACAGAGACTTTGAAGTCAAGCCAACACTCAAGAGTCCTGACTCTGCCCCTAACAGAGCTGTTCTAAAGCTAAAATGGTTCTTCCTGGAACATTGTTGTCAGTTCTGGACCCCATACTTCCAGAGGTACAAAGACAGACTTGCATGTTTTAAGATAAGATTGATAAGGAGTCTTAAAATTATATCCCATGAGGAGTAGCTGAAGGACCTATAAATATTTGGCCTGGAGAAAAGAAAGGAATGGAAATAGTCTCCACAGGAGAGTACCTGGAAGGGGACTAGTTCCATGTTAGCCAACTCATGGAACTGAGACCAGCATGTATCACTGCAGGAAACCCAAGTCTGGCTCACAGTAGAGGTGACCTTTCTGATAGAGCTGTTCAAGGACTCAGTGAGCTGGCACATGAGATGGTGAGCTCACTGTCACCGGAGCTAGGCCAACAGAGACACAAAGACCACTTGTCAGAAAAACTATCAAGGTTCTATCTGGACTTCTGCTCCAAATGGTATCCACAGACCAAGGTTGTCTTTGTGCCCCTGTTCAAACATTTAGTGGGTAGATGGGCAAGATAAGCTCTTGATGTCCTTCCAAACCTGAGATTCTACATTGTCTGGTTTGAGTGTCTTCCTGCTCCAGTCTTACCCTCCCATGCCCCCTGCTCCCCTTCTCCCTAGTGGCATTCCTTCCTGGTAAATGTCCATTTCTCTAATTTGCTGCCTGTATTTGAAACCACCATAACCCACCTACCTATTGCTTCCAAAGTCCAGTGCTTATTAATTCTAATGGTGGTGGTGGTGGTGGTGTTATGTTCCGTCAAGTCAGACCCAACTCATAGCAACCCCTCCTTGGGTTTCCGAGGCGGTATTATTATGGGAATAGTTTACCCAACCTTCCTTCCAAGGAGCGGTTAGGTTAGTTCTAATGGAACAGCATATTCAAATGTGTGCCCCTTTTCCCAAACTTGGTAGAGAACATGCACTGCAGTGTGGCAGTGCTGGAAAAAAAGCTGTTTTTCTCCCTAGGCCTTTATATTTAATCAAGCCCCTTTGTCACTGAGACACTGGCCTGCTTTCTGTGTTTCAATTTGGTGGGGCCCCCCGTTACACAGTTCCCTACAATTCAATTTGTGCCGAAATTGCCTCCTTTGCCCCTAATAGATTTAGATACGTGAGGAAACATGTTCCATTTGCTGCCTTGGTTTTTGTGAATTTATTAAATAGTCTGACTACACCTTCTCCATGTTTAATACCACCTTAAAAAGAGGAAAAAAAAAAAGGAGTCGCAGCTCTTTAGCCTGACATACAAAACACCCAGGCCCCAGCCTCAGTCTGTGCCCCCTTGTGGCCCAGCCCTACTGAGCTCTGCTGTTTCTTAAAGGAGTCGCACCTTCCCCCATTCCCCCCATAGTCTACTCCCAACATCCCAGAGTAGCTTCAAGCTTGTGTTCTCAGGGAAAACTTTCTGGACTTCTGCTCCAAATGGTATCCACAGACCAAGGTTGTCTTTGTGCCCCCGTACCCTATCATTCTGCTGCATATAGCACTCATTGCACAGTGTTGCAATCATTTTTCTTCTGTTTTACCCTCTGAGCTTCTGAGCCTGCCTAGGGCCTGGTATATGAAAGGCAGGTAAAACAAAGCTCTCTAGGAATACTGAATATGTATATGAATGACCCTACGCCTACTTCCGTAGTGATACTACCTCGGAAACCCAAGGAGGGGTCTCTATGAGTCGGGGCCAACTCAACAGCACATAACAACAACAACAACAACATGCTGTAAAGGAGTTTATGAATGTGGCTGGTCCTTTCTTTTAATGGCCTTTCCCAGTTTTTCTGACTCAAAGATAATCATTAACTACACATACTAGAAGTTTTGCTTAGACATTATCTGTGTTATCTGAGTGAGTTGCCAACTTTCTATTCCCAAATCCTGGAACCATCTGATAGTTCTGGCTTTTCCATGAGCTGCTTTCAGCATTTCTAAAACCCTAAGAGAGACAATTTGTCCAGAACACATGCTCCAGTGTAGAGACAGCCAGCTGCAAGGTGGAATTTCAGCTTCTCCTCTTATGAATGTCAGCCTCTGCGCTTTCTACTGGTAGTACTTTTGGTGCATTTCTTTGCCCCTCCACGTCTCGGAGTTCTCATTTATAAAATTGGGTTATTAACTCTAACTTGCATGGTACTTTCATGGAGGAAATGGTATATATAAAGGAAAGTTGATTCCACTCGCCTCAACTTCCCAGTTGTTGTTGTGTGCTCTTGGGTCAATTTCAATTCATAGTAACTCCATCTGACAGAGAACTGCCCCATAGGGTTTTCTAGGTAGTGATGTTTATAGGAGCAGATTACCAGCCCTTTCCCCCAACAGAGATGCCAGGTGAGTTTGAACCACCCACCTTTCAGTTAGCAGCCAAGAGGTACATTAAATACCCTCTGCCCCTCCTTGCTCTGAAATCTTCCTGCCCTCCAAGCTTCCCACCTCTCTAATGAGTACCCATTCCCCAGGGAACCGTGTGCCCCGAAAGTACCTACTGTGACCTTGCCATTTGCTCCCTCATTAAACACACACACTAAAAGCAATTCCATTGAGTCAATTCCACCTCATGGCAACTCCAGATGCGTCAGAGTAGAATTGTGCTCCACAGGGTCTTCAATGGCTGGTTTTTCAGAAGTAGATTACCAGACCCTTCTTCTGTGTTTCTCCTGAGGCATATGTGTGGCCAACCTTACTGTTTGCAGCCAAGTGTTTACCTGTTTGCTCCATCCTCCAGGGACTTCCAGCATGTTTATAATCTTTTGCATCTAATATTGAACAAAGTTTCTGAAACATTTAGTCAAACATGGGGCATGTTAGAAAAGATTCAACAGTGAAGACAAAATTGACCCCTGAGTCTTATAATCTTGGAGTCAGTCAGCATGGAATATCAGAATCAAAGAATGTCAGGGCCACCAAATAGGAATGGACTTGCACATCGAAAGATCATGGATTCTTAAAACGATGGAATGTTCCTACCAGTTGCCTTCAAGTCGATTCCAACTCACGGCAACCCCATGTGTATCAGAGTAGAGATTGCTTTTTCAAAAGTATGTCACCAGACCTTTCTTCCAAGGAACCTCTGGGTGAGCTCCAACTGCCAGACTTTCCTTTAGCAGCTAAGCACATTGAGATTTGCACCACTCAGGGATTCCACGATTTTAAATACGCCGGTATATTTTTATGTTAGGCTCTTTAAAAGGCAATAGCATTAATGTTTGCTGACATGGCATGCTAAATGACTAGAGATACAGGGAGGTTTTGAGAAGGAGAATGTAACTTGAGAAAAAGTCTTGAAGCATGAACAGGATTTCAGTGGGCAAAGGCACAAATAGGAGACCTTCTAGGGCAGATCACTGAGATCTTGCTGACTCCAGAGCCCATACTAACTCTACTTAGCAGCACTCAGAGCTGATTAATTTATCATCAGTTTCCATCTCCAGGAAGGGGGATAATATGGCAGTCTTCATGTTTAGTAGCTGTTAATGCTGAACAGGTTCAGAACCTGGCCTCTTTGGGACTGACAGAAATGCACAGTCCTGAGTGCAGAGGAGGTGTCTGTGAAGCTCCATCACTGCATTCAGTATTCAGTGCTTTTTGCACTCTGTTACCCTTTGGACACAATTCTAGTTCCCCACTGGGACCACAGGCAGAGTGGTATATTTATTCACAGACTACTAAAGTGCCTATTTCCGGGCTTATTAGGCACCACCACACTGAACTTGGTTGAGACTAAATCTTCGTAGTCAACTATTAGAATGACACAGACCTACACCTTAGAGTGATTCATGTCATTTTCTTATGAGAAATACCAGTGCTTTTCATC